AAGGTGACGAATTTTGGTAGCGGCTCGACGTGAGAATGCGCAGGGCCGCGGGCCTTGCCGCCGGGCTGTGTCCTTGAGTCAACAGCCTCGCGACGGGGGCCGGCGCGCATAATCTGCGGACGCACGATGGCTGGCAATGGCGCCCCAAAGGGGACGCACCTTGGTAGCAGTTCGACGTGAAAGCGTGCAGGACCGCTGGCCTTGCCGCCTGGAGACGCCCTCGAGGCACATGCCTAGCGACGGTGGCAAGCGCGCAGAATCGGCGAATGCTCGCAAACAGGCTGCCGCCAGGCCGACCCCACGGGAAACGAAGTGGGAGAGCCAGGGACATGTGAGTGTGCAGGACGGCCGGCCTTGCCGCAGGGCTGTCCTTGAGGCGACTGTCTCGCGACAACAGCAAAATCGCAGAATCTGCGGATGCACGAAATCTGGCGCTGCCGCCAGACAGCGTCCAAGAAGAAACGGACCTTGGTAGTGGTTCGACGTGAGTCTGTGCAGGACCGCCGGCCTTGCCGCCGGGCAGCGTCCTCGAGGCTTTTGCCTCGAGACGGGGTCAAGCGCGCAGAATCTACGGATGCACGCAAGCTGGCGGTGCCGCCTGACAGCGCCCGAAGGAGAGGATATGACTGCGAGTTCAAGGCAAATGCGTGCAAGCAGGACCGCTGGCTTTGCCGCCGAACTGTCTCGTTGAGGTGATGGCCTCGCGAAGGGAGCATGCAGAATCTGCGGATGCACGAAGATCGGCACTGCCGCCAGACAGCGTAATTACAAGAGGTGATGAGCCGTGGTAATAGGGGCCACGCGAGGGTGCAGAGGACCGCCAGCCTTGCTGCCGTGCTGTCCTTGAGGCAACTGCCTCACGACAGGGGTAAGCGCGTAGAGACCGTGGACGCACGAAAACCAGCACTGCAGCGCCCACAAGAAAACGAAACAAATTGACTCGAGAGACGCTAGAACTTGCAGGGCCTCCGCCTTGCAGCCAGGCAACGTCCTTGAGGCAACAGCCTCGCGACGGGGGTCGGTCGGCGTGCATAAACTGCGGACGCACGATGGCTGTCATTGCCACCACCCTGCGTCTCAAAGAGGACGAAACTTGGTAATGGTTCGACCTGAGAGCGCGCAGGACCGTCGGCCTTGCCGCCTTGAGGTATTTGCCTCGCGACGGGGAAAGCCGCGCTGAATCAGCAAATCCGCGCAAACTGGCACTGCCGCAAGGCAGCGCATACAGGAAACGAAGTGGGAGAACCAAGGAGATGTGAGTGCGCAGGACCGCCAGCCTTCACGCTGGGCTGTCAATCATTGAAGCGACTGCTTCGCGACGAAGGTGGCCACGCAGAATCTGCGGATGCACAAAAGCCGGCACTGCGGCCCTTTGCATGGGGCACCAGAGGCGCGTGCCCATGCCTGTCCATCCACACGGATGGGCATCCTGGCCCATACGGCCCAACCTCCCTGAGGAAGGCCGTGCCTGCCCTGAAGGTGAGGGCATATGGTCCTAAGCCACTGTCGCCCGGCCATTCACTGAATCAGGGGCTATGCAGAGGTGCTCTTCGAGCTCAGGGAACTTTCAGTGGCGCCCCGTGCGTCCCTTGGGCTCTTGCCCACACCCAGTATCGATTCGCTTCGGCACGGGAAAAAGGAAGATTTTTTCAACATCCACAATGCAGCCACGATGCAACTGAGGGGCTGCGAAACCCTCAGAGACGCACGCTTGGCGTAAAAAGCCACCCTGGACGGCGTTGCGCCCAGGGAGGCTACCCCTCCTCTCTGAGGGAGGGTGGGATGAGCATCGGTCGGGGCAACTGGCTTCCAGGCTGCCCCCGTGCCCCAATGCACCCACTGGCTTTTCCTGCGCAGCGGTCACCAGGGGCCAGCGAGGACCTCCTGGTCGTGCTCCAGGGAAGCCCAAACCCGACTGGGAAAAGGAGGGGTGAGCAGGGCAACGGCGGCGGGAGGAACCCCAAGGCTCGGGTGCGGGGCAGGCTGCGTGACCTGCACCCCCCGCCGGCGCGCCCACAACTCCCACCGAGAAAAGAAGAAAGGGGATGGGGGCAACAAACGGCGGGAGGAACCCCAAGGCTCGGGTACCATGGCAGGCTGCGTAACCTGCACCTCCCCCGAAAGAGCCCCAACCCCAGACAACCCCAGCGCAATCCTGGGAAACAAGAAACAAGAAACTGTGGCACAGCATCGGTCGGGGCGGACATCACCCCCGTGCAAGGCCACAAGAAAATCCATCCACACGCGCAGCGCACCTTCCCCCACAATTGGGGTGCCTGATACCCGTGCACAAAACACTCGCACGTACGCACAGAGCAAGACTACCTGGCCGACGCCAGGACAATGCGCAATACTAACCCCTGGTGTAAAGAACGCCAGGACGTGAGCACTTACACAGCTGAACCTGGGAAAAGAAAACACCAGCACCCGAGGCTTCACATCGGTCAGGGCGGAAACCACCCCCGTGCAAGGCCCACGGGATAAGCCATCCACTAGTGCAGTACACCTTCCCCCACAACTGGGAAAGAGGAGGAGGAGGAGGAGGAGGAGGAGAAGGAGGAGGAGGGAGAGGAGGAGCACCATCTCGGAGCACGTCGCACGGGCGGAGGAGCACACGCGCAGCCCGCGACTCGGGCAGCCCCTGCGCCCCATCACGGGAGGAGGGCGGAGGAGCAGGGCGCAGGCGGTCGGGGCAGGGCCGAGGCGGGGCCTCGGCGCACTGCGCCGAGGTGTCAGCGGTGCGCTGCACTCGCCGTCGCGGCTGCGCGGCCGGCGCCGGACGCGAGCGAATGGGCGGCCAGGGCACGCTCCGAAGACGGATACCTTCAGCTGTAGGCTCAAAGGCCATGCCGATGGCGGCCCACATCGGCGCCCTAGCCCGGGCGTCTCGCACATCCACGACACCCCGACTGGCGCACGGATCGGGAAACTACTCACACAATTGTTACAATTCTGGAAATGTGTTCGTTCAGGTCTGGTCGACGGAAAAATGCAGGCGAACGCCAGCGGTGCAAGAAAACTCGGCGCCAGAATTGCCGCGCGCTCGCTACGCTGCGACCAAGGCCGAGTCCTCCTGAATGCTGCCGAGGAGCTTGGACTGCTTGCTCTCCCCGCTCTTCTGCCGCTGGAACTCGCTGGTTCCGCTCAGCTGCCGCTCAAACTGCGACTCCAAAGCCACCGACTTCTGGATTGTCTCCCCTTGAGAATGGACATAGAGATCGTGGACAAGGGCGAGGACGCAGTACAGGCCCGAAGGCATGAGGAGCGTCCAGAGCTTGAAGGCGTTGTACGCGATGGAACCCAAGCACGCGCCTCCAATGAATCCGGCAAGGAGAAGACTCATGAGAATCACCTTGTTTCTGTCCGCGGTATGCTCTTCCCAGTCTTCTGGCGCAAAGTTCCTGCACTTAGTCAGAAACCTGGAGATGATTCGACCAATGGCCAAGCCCAGGTCCGTGCCCGTTCCGGTCATGTGAGTCGTGCGAATGACGTTTCCGCTCCAAGACGAGCAGAGCCCGTTCTGAAGGCCGCAGCCAAGGGCCAACAGGTGCGCGCCGAGAAGACCGTGGCCGCTCAAGACTATCGGACTGGCCATGATGAGCGCGAGCATCATGAGGGCAGACGAGTAGGGCGCCTTGCCGATCTTGAGCGTCGCCTTGGGGATGAGCAGGCCGCACAGGGTCGACCCAACGATGAAGTCGAGAACGAGCAGCGCGGGCGTTGGCACGTCCCCAGGCTGATCTCCAAACTGGCGGAGCCCGATCGCTGTGGAGGAGCCGGAGACGTGGCTGACGTACGTACTGAACTTGGCAAACGCCACAGCATTGACCATTCCAGCGCAGATCGCCAGGTTCAAGCCGCTAACGTGCACGCCGATCTTCTCACTGTTGTTGCTGATGGCGTCGAGCACTGCAAGCCTCTCCTGGAGCGCGGCGCGGAAGTGGCGGCTGTCGGGCGCCTCGCCTATTGACCCCAAAGCCTCGTCGCTGATCATCAGTGACTCCGAGCGCTGCAACGTGCTGGGCATCTTCGCGGAAAGGGAGGACTTCTTCCGCTCGCGAGCGAGCAAACAGGACTCTAAACCACCGGATTGAGCTAAGCAACTTGAACCAAATGGCTTGAGCCAAAATGGCTACGGAGGAGGAGGGAGAGGAGGAGGGAGAGGAGGAGGCGGCGGAGGAGGGAGGTGGAGAGGAGCGAGGGGAAAGGAGAGACTTACCATTGCGTATATCTCCTCTCTGTTCGCGCAGCCGGATGTCGAACAGTAAAATGATCCAGAGAGAGTACGCGATGCATGGTATAGCACGGCATATCATGACATCGCGTCGAGAATGCGACTCAATTCGACAACAAGGTCAGATGGAAACCAGAAATGGCACAGGACGGGAAAAAGGAATGGACGGTTTGGACAGCGGGAAACGCAACATGAGATCAGCGCTGCAGCGGGAACACGATCTCAAAGGCCCGAAACCGCGGAAATCAGACCATCGCTGCAGTGGAAACACGATTTGGAAGGAATTGGAGCGCGGAAGCGAAGCCAACGCTGCAGTAGGAACACAATGTGGAAGAGCCTTAACAATGAAATGAGGTCAGCGCTACAGCAAAAACATGATTTGCAAGGACCGAAAACGAGAACATGGGCCCAACGCTGTAGCGGGAGTGCCATTCTGAAAGGACTGGAAGCGTTCGGATTGGACAAGCACATATGAACTATCAGTTCGGCGGCATCCTGTGCGCAACAGAAACAACAGGACACCTCAACGCCGTCTTCGGGGGAGAGGGGAGAGTGGCATGCATATTGTGTAATTGTCGAGGGAGGCTGGGCGGGCTGGGGAGCGAAGGGGCGGAGGAGGGAGGGAGGAGAGGAGAGGAGAGGAGAGGAGAGAGAGAGAGGAGAGGAGGGAGAGGAGAGAGGAGGAGGAGGCGGAGGCGGACGAAGAGAGAAGAGAGAACCGAGAGAAGCGAGGAAGAAGAGCAGCGGGCACCGGCCCGGCCCCGGCCTGCTTCGCGCCCACCGCGGGCGCCGCCACCAGAGTCGCGGCGCCCCCCGCGAGGCTGCCGCCCACGGTCTGCGGGCGGGCCGGCGCGGGGGGGGCGCCTTTGCACGGGGCTCCCCCCTCGCTGCCTTCCTCCTCTTCCTCCTCTTCCTCCTCTTCCTCCTCGCTCCATCCCTCCTAGTTCTTCCCTCCCTTCTCCCTCCTCGCTCCTCCCAACTCCTCCTCCTCCTCCTCCTCCTCCTCCTCAACCTCCTCCTCCTCCTCCTCCTCCTCCTCCTCTCCTCTCCTCTCCTCCTCCTCCTCCTCCTCCTCCTCCTCCTCCTCCTCCTCCTCCTCCTCCTCCTCCTCCTCCTCTTCCGTAGCCATTTTGGCTCAAGATGCCTAGTTCCACAGTGGAACAAGTGGATACCGCTAGTCCGCGGCCAGTGCCAGGGCTCTTGAGCCCGACAGCCCCTTCTCGATCCCAAGTGCAGACTGCAGCACCATGGCTGGCGCCGGCCGAAAGGAACGCCAGGACTGGGCTTGCAGGAGCTGTACGACGAAGCGCGGCAAGCCGCTCATCAACTTCGGGACCTCGCTCAAGTGCCAAGGGTGCAGGCTCCACAAGAAGGACGTGTACGGCGGGCCTGTGCCGCCGAAGGAGCCCTCGATGCGGGCCCCAGCCAAGGGCAAGAAGCGGGCCCCGTGGACGGCCGAGGGCAAGCTCGAGGGCGAGCTCGCGGCCATGCGGGCGGAGCTCGACGCTGCCAGGAAGAAGCTTCGTACGCAGGAGTCCGACCAGGGCGGGGCCGCGGCCATGCACGTGGACGACGGCAAGTCAGGCGAGGACGCCTCGGCTGCGAGCGAGATCAAGGTGTGCGAGGCAGGCCTGGCCACGCTCAAGGACGTGCAGCACGACTGGGCCACGGGCCCGCGGGAGGATCTCAAGCGCAGGCTCGCCGCCGCCAAGGACAGGCTCTTCGCCGCCAAGCCGCTCCACGCGCGGGTGCAGGCGCTGGCCCACAGGCAGAAGAATCTGGCGGACAAACTCAGCAAGATGGAGCTGGCCGAGCGCGAGGCGGAGGACCGTGTCAAGAAGGCGCAAGACGAGCTGGAGCTCAAGCGGCATGGTGTCAGAGAGCTCAAGGCGCAGCAGGTGGCCCTCCAGGCGGAGCAGTCGGCACTCCAGCAGCAGGTCCCAGTCGCGCCAGAGGATCGTCCGCCTGGGCAGTCCATGGAGCACGACGTCATCAAGAACACGGGCGGCCTCACCCTCGGCGACCTGGCGCAGGCTCTCAGCGGTGCTCTGGCCGCTCACCCCGACGACACCATGCAGACCGCGGGCGATTTGCCGCAGCGGCTGGCCTCGGCGCTCGGCGGGCCCCTCCAGGAGCTCATGCTGCGGCGGCAGCGCGAGCGGGCCGCCGCCACGGAGGCAGCGAGCGCCCCTCGCACCCCTGCAGCGTCCGTCGAGGGAGACGACGCCGCCGCCGCCGCGCATGGCGCAGGCACTGCAGGCGGCGCCGCCCCTGCAGCCGCAGCGCCGCGCTGGGATCCCGCCGCGATGGAGCCCGAGAAGCTGCGGCAGACCATGGCGGAGTTCTCGCCAGGGCCAGCAGAGGAGACCAGCGACGCCATGCTGGCGCGCGCCACGGAGCTGGCCGTCAGGGGCTTCAATCCTTACTAAGCTCATCATCGCGATGTCCTGCACACTTGCGATGGCGAAAGGCACTATCACTACCAGCAACGTGACTTCCTGGGGTTCATTGGCGCCGTGCCTAGAGACCCTCGAGTCGCACGTCGTTCTCGTCCAGGAGCATCACCGACGGGACGAGGCGAAGCTCGCCGACCTGCAGCACGAGGTGCTGGATCACGGGTTCGCGGGCATCTGGGCGCCAGCAGTGGCAGGCCCCACCTCCGCGGAGGGCACTGCGGGCGGCGTCGCGGTCTTGGCCCGCAAGAACATCCCCGTCACGGCCCCGCCGCTGCTGCCCTCGGCGACACTGTGGCCAGGGCGACTGGTGGCCGCCCACGTGCACTGGGGAGTCCGTGGCGGCATTGTCTTCGTGTCGGCCTACCTGGTCGACAGCGTTGGCATGAACGACGTGAACCGAAGCATCTTCGGCGCGCTCACTCGCTACCTCACGAAGCTCACGGCCTCGGGCATCGATTGGATCGTCGGCGGCGACTTCAATGGGCCTCCCAGCTGCCTGCCCCTGGCGCAGTTGGAAAAGGCGGGGGGCCTCTGGCTAGCGCCGTCGGCCGACACCTGCCGCCCACAGGCGGGCAGCGGCTCGGTGCTGGACTACTTTCTGGTCGGTGCAAACCTGGCCAGCCGCATCTCGGCTCCGAGAGTGGATGAGTTGGGCATCACCTCCCCGCACCTCCCTGTCAACATGGAGCTGCGTGCCGCCGACCTGGACATGCGCGTGAGGATCCCGATCGCCCCCAGGGCGATTCCAGCGGTGCCGCCCATCGGCTGCAGCCGCGGTGTCGAGGACTGGGCGCCCACTTTGGCCCAGGTGCGCGCCACAACCAGCGCCGAGGAGCTGCCAGCAGCCTGGGACGCCGTCGTCAGCACCTTGGAGCAGGAGCTGTTGGACCGCTACGACCAGGTTGGCGAAGCGCGCAGGCGGTTCGAAGGACGTGCGGGGCCCATTGCGACCAAGCTGGCGCCAGTCAAGTGGAAGCCGCAAGGGCAGCGTGTCCGATTGGGGCCTGATGTCATCGCGGCCAAGGTCGCGGGCCGATGGGCGCGTCACTTCATGGGGGTCAGCGCGTTCCTCGCGAAGGCCAGCAGGAGGCTGCAAACCGCCAGCCTGCAGTGCTCCCTTGTCCCTGAGCAGTACCACGAGCTGGCGGACTTCGTCGCGAGGGCTTTGGAGTATGGGCGCGTGGTTATGGACAGCAAGAAGACGCTGGCACTGCTCCCGCATTGGGTGAGGTCCTTCTTCGAGCAGGGCTTTCGCGTGATCGGCAACACCGACTTCCTGGAGCAGGCGGGCCGCATCGTCCAGTTCGCCAAGGACGCCCACGCGGACGCGCTCAAGGTCAGGCAGCAGAGCTGGATCCAGTGGGCCAACGACAGCCTGCGGAACGGCGCTGGCAAGGCGCACCGCTTCACCAAGCTGCGGGCGATGCAGGAGGTGCTGGCGCAATGGCAGGGCACCCACACCGAGCTCACCACTGGACGGCTCGCCCAGACCTTCGTCCCGCAGCAGCAGGTCGCCAGCCAGCACCTGATCTGCGACCGGGAGATGAAGGCCTGGGAGGACGTCTGGTCGTGCCACAAGCTCGAGGCGCTGGAAAGGCCAGCTGACTTCGACGAATGGGACGACCTCGAAGACCTCACCGTGGAGGCGCTGCAGCGGGCCGCCTGCAGCTTCCCCACCACCACGGCGCTCGGCCCAGCGCAGATCGGTATGCGCGCGCTCACCTTTCTCACGGACGACGGCGTTTACACCTGCGGCCAGCTCTTCATGAAGTGCGAGGCGCTGGGGGCTTGGCCCAGCGAAAGGCTGTGGCACGCTATGTGCCGCATCCCCAAGGCCTCTGGCGGCTGCAGGCTGATCACGCTGATGCACTCGCTAATCCGATGGTGGTCGAGGGCTCGTGCCTCGACGTCCAAGGCGTGGCTGACGGCGCACCCCAATGCCAGTATTTGGGGCATGGGCGGCGGCAGATCTTCCTCCGACTCCGCCTTCGACCTCAACCTTGAGACGGAGGTATCGGACTGCCTGGACGAGCACGTCGTAATCGTCATGCTGGACGCCTGGAAGTTCTTTGAGACGATTAAGCCCGAGTGGCTACTCATCGAGGCGCGGCTGCTGGGCATGCCGCTGCGGTTGGTCTGGATGTTGATTGAGCTATACAGGCAGCCGAGGCGGCTGCAAGCTTTCGGCTCGGTGTCCTACGCGGTCGTGTCACATCAGGGCGTGCTCGCAGGATGCACTCACGCCTGTGCCATGGTCACCTTGCTCATGTTCAGGCTGCTCGAGCAGGTGCGAGATGCAGGCGTCACCCCGAGGGCCCTCATCGACGACGTCACCTTGCAGTGGCGCGGGAGGCGGCTCTCGCAACTGGGCGTGCTTTGGGCGGCCACCACCAGGTTCCGCGAGGGCGCCCAGGAGCGAGGCATTGTCGTGCAGCCCACCAAGTCGGGCTACTTGGTCTCATCGGACGCGGCTGCTCGCGAGTGTGCCCGACACGCGGCGGCCCGCAAGCTGACCAAGATGCGCTGGGCCCGCAACCTGGGGCACGATCTGGGCGGGCGCAGAATCGCTAGGCTCCAGACGGCAAAGCGGGTGCGGCAGCTCAAGGAGCGGCGCGGCAAGTTGGCAGCTTTCAAAGGGGCAGTGGGCAGGCGCGCTACCTGCCTGTGGAAGACGGGCCTCATGCCGAGTGCGGCGCACGGTGCTGGGGTGTCAGGGCTCACCGACGATACGCTGCAGGTGCTGAGGGCCGAGGCTGGCAGGCTTGCAGGGGCTCGGCCAGGTGCATCGAGCGTCACGGTGTATTTAGCCACGCAGAAGGCGCGCGAGTACGACCCCATCTACGGCGCCACCTGCGACATCGTTTGCCGATACGCCAGCTGGATCTGGGAGCAACGCACCTCCCTGGCTAGGCTCCACAGGGCCTGGGCCAAGGTCACGGAGCGGCTCGTGGGGCGCCCGTCCTGGGCAGGGGCTCGCGGTCCCATCGCCTCCGTCACGCTGACGCTCTGGCGCATCGGATGGCACATGTACTCCAGCACGACCCTGGTCACCGACCAGGATACGGCGATCAACCTCCTCACCACGTGCCCGAAGGACGTCAGGATGCATCTGACCGGCGGCGTGCAACGCTGGCAGGCGAGGCAGATCGCGGCGCACCACCGCCAGCACGGCGAGGTCAAGCCTTGGGCGCGGGCCATGCGGCTCTGCGTGGGCGACGGGCGCGCGGCGTTGGCGGAGGGCCCGTCGGCCACCAGCCTGCGTCACCACTGGGCGACGGTGGCCTGGACGCAACAGGCCCAGCACGACCTTGGGCTGGCGGCGGCGCCGAATTGCAGGGCCTGCGGACATCCGTCCGACTCGCCTGGGCACAGATTTTTC